AATTTAAACGATTGGAATCAGATGTTTTGTAAAGAACCCTTTTTTTTACTGAAGAAAAGAAAGCACTTTGCTATTGTACTTTTTCTACGTCTTTTTCCTTTTTTGTGGTTCGCGTTTCTGATTTTGAAATACATATTCTAGTAACGTTCCAGATTGGAAAAATATATTGTCATTTGTGTTTACGGATTTTCTCAAAAATCGAAATAAATCTTTGGTCCAAACCATTTTTTTACCTGATGGTTCATGTATTAACTGAGTATTTATTGCTTAATGGTTTTGTTAATTTTGTTTCCATTTTCAGTATCTCTCTTAAACAATTCATTTTGGATATTTGATATTCTTTAATTATCTAAGGAGTGTAAGCGTTTAGTCGTTTTTAACTAACTAACCTAATGATGGCGCTGATTCTAATGCGGTGGATCATATCTGCCATCAGGGCCAAATTTTAGGTTTAATACCAATTTCGTCACAAGAGTTAGTTGTAAAACTAAAGACTGATATTAGATCATGTTGAATTTGGTGAACTACGTATTATAGGGTCGCAGCCAAGAATAAGTTAGGGAAGGATGAGTCTGTCCTGAAGTTTTTTGAACCTAAACGATCTTGAACTAATATTAGATATTAGGATGAACATTGTGACCGCTACTTTTTAATTTGCATATCGAAGATGCAAATAATATTATTAAAGACAGGTCAACTTTAAATTTAGACATACAGGGACAAAAGATTAGTTAAAGCTTAGATTTACAAATGATATAGAAGTATTATTATCTAGCATACAGAAGTTATAGTTGCCTTTAAATCAAATGGAAGCAGTATTGATACAAGAGTATTATCATATGAAAATTAATAAAAATATTGCAAGAAGATTAGCTCAGGATAGGACTTAGCTGTTGCTCTATACTTATGGACCCTTTACAGTTAACTTATTCAGGAAAAAATACAATTATGATTTAAATAGATTTGAGCTAACAGTTGAAACGTCAACGATTCATATTATATCTCTGTTAAAACTAGATCCATCGCGTATATGACATTTCACTGAAGAAAACACTCCACTTTCAAAATTTCATCTAATACCACAGTGTTATACGTATACTGTACACTGGGAATACATAATAAGCAGTCTATGAATATTCAAAACTGACTGTCCTGAAATGAAATTCTACTTGATTATCACATGCAATATTAAAATGACGGCCGGTCTCCGTTATGTTGTAGGTTGTAGATACGTCGCCAATGTTGAGTTTACATTTTAAATTTTTATACATCGCCGATTATTATTCTGACAGTTTCAGTGTAACGCAGTTTTGTTTCGTTCGCAAAGGGAAACAACTTCAAAATGCGTAGTGACTTTCTATTGGAACGAGTACGTCTCATTCTCTTAAGGGATGAATTTATAACTTAAATTGAATTAATATATGATGAAATATGAATAAAAACATTATGAAAAACATGGAATAAAAAATTATTGCTTTGCACGAGCTTTGCTTTGATGAATCTCGCTTGAACATTTTCCATCCTTTCTTGATAAACCTGATACATCCAAAAAAGTCAGTCAGCAGCTTCCAGCTATGACCACTTTGAATTTTTACCTAATAGCACTGTTCATTCTATCCAATAATAACAAAAGGCTTTACAGTAGTTATAAATTTAGTACTGGATAACGCCATTCTATCGTTTGGTTTCAACAGAGGATTTAAAAAGTGATGTCTAATCAGTTATCTTATTTATAACTCTACGTAGACAGTTTTGTAAAAATATAACCTAAAGAACATTCCATAACATTAACTTTACCACTGGTTAATGAATAGATTTGTTAATTTGAAAAGAATCATCTTCATTAGCGTTATTCCGTTTCTGATAAACAAACCATGTGCTTAGTCTAGGAATTGGACATGAGATTTCAACGTTATCCAGAATATGGACAGATTTGTACGGGAGCATACTCGGGGTAGATACAAAAGCCCTATTTTTTTTAATTACGATATCGGGATATTGCTTAATCGAATTGACAAGAGAAAAATTAATAAAAATTGTCGCAAAAGAACATTAAACATCTTGATTGGTTCTCATTATTTCGGAAAAGGTTTCTGATAAAAATTGTATACTTTCGAAGGCATCTAGGATTTGAAAATCTTCAAAAAATAATTAGAAAATAAACAACTTTCTATTTTTGGTAGTTATTTAGTTGAATAAAGAGAAAAACTACAAATTGTATATATTTATTGACAGAAAAAGAAAAAGAACGATGAATTTTAATATCAATATACATACGAAGGGTCAGAAAAATGAGCGAAAATGTTATTATTAATCATGTGGGCCACTATAGCCGGATATGATTTCTTGAGAATTAGTCATAATAAACGATGTCATTTTAAATGGAGTCATTATATCCAAAACTTCCTATAGATAATTTAATATGAAAACCAAACTTAACAGTGCAATTACTTCATATTAAGCGGTTGGTCAATACAGGCGGAGTCATAATAAACGAATTCCACTGTACATATTTCTTAATTCAGCAATGGAAAACGCGGGAAATTTGACAATCGGAAACTTCGTTGAAGCAGATTTGCCCCTACTTTTTCTATTTCCTAAATGATGTCCTTCTGTAGCAATTTTTATCTATTTTACACATGTCCCCCAACGCTGTTGTTCACTGTTTTGGGCATTATTATCTCGATGACGAAATAATTTTAGAAAATGAAAAATAAGGGCATTTCTACCCTGTGGATGTGTCTCTAATTCCTAGTGGGCTGTCTGTCCGCTTACAAACGTAATCCACCCTATTAGGTGTCCGAAATTTTGCTGCCGATAAAATTAATACATCGTTGAATTGTCGGGCGAAATTTTTCGACTTTTCGTTTGAAAAAAGTTTTTACTCGTGGAAATCATAAAGATGAGTAAGTACACCTGGATATCGACGATAAAGAAAATATTTAAAATTGTTTACAGTAGCATACGCCCTTACTAGGCAAAGCATGAAAATTTAAATGGGAAAGTGCAACGTTTGACCTTAGAAATATGTCAATATTTGTTGTTAAGTGCTCTGAGGATCAATAACGATTAAGGCGCTTGCATTTGCAATATTTAATTGAGTAAGGTCAACCTTAAACACTTTTCTTATTTAAATAGGAAAACGACTGAAAGATTTTCTTTAAAACGTTTAGTGAAAATCGTTAAGTTGCTTTCGTATTTGTCTACTGTAGATTTTCATCAAGCAAGGCTCAAGTCTATCAATTATTAGCTAATTAAAGTAAAAATTAGACTAACTGAAGTGGATTGATACTTGATTGGTAATATTTAAAAGAAAAATTCTGCAAATGAGTACAAAATATTACTGATAACCGAAAAAATGTTGCTTTGACTTTCAAATACATTATTAAACTTTTGTAACGATGTCGAAAACTTTAAGGTTTGCGTAAATGTAGACTTTTCCGAGCTTGTTGTTTGTGGTCCTTGGGATTTTACTTCTAGGCCAACAAGCCCGAAAAATACTAGTAATAGGTACTCTAAGGTTTTCTGAAATATACCCAACCCAAATTTCAAAATCATCTAAAACTAAAGTAACTGATTACTGAGACGTGGTTAAAGTCAATTGGACATTATACTACAAAAAAAAATTACTGCACCGCGAATAATACATTCTCAAGTATATAGTATTGCGTGCGACTTGGGTCCTTTGACAAAAAGTCTCCAATTTCCATTCTTGTCGTCACTTTTCTTTAAGGAATGAGTCAAAACGACTGATTACTTTTCGCCGACATAAAAAGGGAAAACTTATTATGTTCAGATTACTTTTTTTTTTTACTTCGTGATATAACGTTCGATAGAATGGCGTTGGATTTTAGATGTAATCGCAGCTGTCAAATGACTTGCTTTGTCTGTTTTGGTGGCCGGAGTAGTCGGGTACACAATGCGTGATATCCGTTACAAATGGAACACGGGATCTAAAAGCGTTGGAATAAGCAACGAAGTTGAACTGCCACAATTCCGGGTGCTGGGCCACAGGCAGAGAGCAACTGTGATAAACCTTTCGACAGGTAAAATAACCAATAAAATTTAGGGGATTATGAGACCAAAACGATCAATTTATTTACACTTAAGTATGGACGATTACCAACGGGAGTAAGTGGACCACAATTCCTCCCTGTCCTTCTTTCCAGATACTTACTAAATATCTAAGAGCTACTTCAAAAGTCAATAAAAATCCCTGATTATAATTGATTGAATTCCCTCATTTTTCAAACTGCTACTTTGACGTATAGGTATCATTTTTCATGCACCACCTCTAAAAATCAATGACTACTTTAGTTACCAACACTCTAGATTATAAAATCGTGTTAATCTCAATTTTAAATTTGTTTGTACTAAACTACGTTGATAGATTGTCAAAATTGAGTCATGAATTAACATCAGCAATCATTAATAAGCTAATAGTGTTGCATTCAACAGCCAATTTTTATTTTCCAAATTTTGATAACATATCGTTTCTTACTGCGTGCTTAATACATCGGAGTGGCATGGACTAAAGGTTTAGACCATTAGTTAGCATTCGAGAGGACCCGGGTTCGATTCCGGGTCAGTCTGCCCTGGTCCAAGTTTCTCTGTGGTTTCCGTGGATCACTCAAGCAACTGCTGGGAATAGTAACAATATTATACAAATAACTTTTCACTTCTCTTCTGTCTTCAATTCGTCGGTTTCACCTTTGTCATCCCAACTACCACCTCTGATTCCTGAAAGGAGGCTGAAGAGGGTCTACTCTCCGGAGGGACTTCTCGATCACAATCATTATTAGCAGCTGCTAGAAGTGCAATTTTTTTTTATGATTAAAGAGAGAACAATTGATGAAAGCAACTAAAACTGCTTGTTATTGTTACCTAGACTCTTTTCGAAACCTTAGTTTATTTAGAACCCAACCTAACCCAAGCTAACCTGAGGCTGCGGAACTTTTTTGTTGCAATTTGCCGCAGCTTGCACTGGCTTATAATTGCAGTCGGTTACACCATGAGAGACATTCGCTATAAATGGAACGAAGGACCCGTTTCAGTTGGCGTATCAAATGAAGTGTCTCTTCCGCAGTTTAAAGTCCTGGGACACAGGCAAAGGGCTATGGAAATCAGTCTCACAACAGGTATCCACCAAGTCCCCACCCTTCCGTTCCAATCCATTAAAGTTTATTGTGTATTGTGTTCAATGGTTTTAACTGTTTCACTCATTCACTTTTGTTTTATGTTAAACGATAAGAGTGTTTTATAAGCTTTTCTTGTCTCTTTATGATATTTTCTTGTTTTTTTGATACTATGTGTGTAATTAGGGTGCTTCAAACAAAATTTTTAATTCTTTTTTCTAACTCTTACCCCCTCAAATGTTTCTATTTGATGTAAAAAAAATACTCGCCAAACATGAGCCTTATAGCTCAAATCTAAGGGGTCGCTATTTTTATTTTAGTTTCCCATTTAATTAACATAGGAAAAATTCCTTTTTGTTTTAAATTGAATTTACACATAATTTACGCAGTTTTTCCCAAAAAACCGTTTCATATTCTCAAAGCTGAGTCTTTGAGCTTTACAAAACTCTAAGACAAAGTATGATTATCTTTACAAAAAGACTAGTTACAGCCATTTAAAAATTACTAAATTTTGAAATTTGAAAAAANTGTCTTGGCCTGGGCAATGCCACGTTATGCACTGTGTTTTGACATACGCAATGTTCTCATGCACAGTGTCTTGTCATGCATACAGTCTTGCCATGCGCAATATCTAGAATGCAGTGTCTCTTCATGAGCAGTATCTTGCCATGCACAGTGTGTTGCCATGCATAGTGTCTTGCCATGCACAGTGTCTTGCCATGCACAGTGACTTGGTATGCATAGGTCTTGCCATGCAAATTGTCTTGCAATACGCTATGTCATGCGATGTACTGTGTCTTGGTCTGGGCAATGCCACGTTATGCACTGTGTTTTGACATACGCAATGTTCTCATGCACAGTGTCTTGTCATGCATACAGTCTTGCCATGCGCAATATCTAGAATGCAGTGTCTCTTCATGAGCAGTATCTTGCCATGCACAATGTGTTGCCATACACCGTGACTTGCAATGCATAGTGTCTTGCCATGCACAGTGACTTGGTATGCATAGGTCTTGCCATGCAAATTGTCTTGCAATACGCGATGTCATGCGATGTACTGTGTCTTGGCCTTGGCAATGCCATGTCATGCACAGTATTTTGACATACGTTGAAGCACCCCAGTGTATATATTTATAAAGATGCTCCCCACTAAAATTAGAAGTGCAATTTTCGCTACTCTAATCAATTAATCGAACTATGTACATAGAAAAAATGATTAATGTTTAAAAAGTGATCATTTTGGTAAATGGAAATGGAAAGCAGACGGTTTTGGCATCGTGGCTCATTCAATTTATGAAAAATTTTACGAAATATTTTTAATTAATGAAAGGAAGTGTCAGCAAAAACTTAATGACTTCCGCTGTCATTACATTTTCATCGACAGACGCAGCCACCTGTTAAATTATTATACCGTCCCGTTTAATAACTTTTAACGCTTTGCATCAACCTGCAGTAATTAGTGAAAATTCATCGGAAACTTTTAAACCATGTGCCCTATATTCTTGGGTCGACATTTTTTTATTTGTCTTTATAAAATCCATTCGTTCTGTTCAAGTTGCTAATTAAAAACGAATAAAGGTTCTTACCTAATTAGTAAAATGTTAGAATACTCAAGGTAAAAACAATTTTTAAATACACCTAATTGGTTTGAAACCCTGTCTTTGGTTATTAGGACTAAATTAAGCGTAGGTAATTTTATTTTTATATTAATGTGAATTTATGAAGGAAATTGCAGATATGTAAAAAAATAATCTACTGTTTTAAATATAATTTATCATATGGTGTGAATTATCTGAATTATTTATTGATAAATTATT